CGTCTCCTCGCTCTGCCGGAGCCGCTCCCGCGGCCCCGCGTCGCCAACCCCGTTCTCGTCCTCCTCGTCGCCGTCGCCGTCCTTGAAGCGCGTGTGAACGGGCTTTGGGAGCGACTCCTCTGGGTGGTCAAACGCCTCGAACAGCTCCAAATCCCCAAAATCCACCTCTGCCGCCATTTTGGGCTGTGGGCGAGATTCGAGAAGAGGAGCTGGACACCCGGGCCGGGGTCAAAGGTCGTAGGGCGGCACCTCTCCCGAGGGCGCTAAGCCACCCAGTAGGGTTTTCTTTAAACGTAGGCCCCGGAAGCGGCACAAGGGGCGGGCCAATCCCGAGAGACTGCAACTACCAAAATGCAATGGCGTCCCTCATACCCACTTCCGAGGTTGCTGGAGAGCATGGCATGCTGGGACATGTAGTTTCTGACTGACTGTTAACTCATTGTTTGCATTGCATACTGGGATTGCTCCTTATTAAACGTTAACAAAGCTAGAGTAAATCAGAATGTGTTGAAACAATATGGTTGTCCTTGTTATGCATCTAAGGCTGAAAAGTCGGAACACATTCTGGTGTGCATGCCAAACAACTATGGAACTTTAGTTTTGCCACGGACTACCTCTGTAATCTTGGATAGTTATTTCAGTTTATTGGGCTTGTTTTACTTTTTCATGAAGAACTAGCTAGAATAGTCCTGGTCAGGTGGTTAAGTTGGTTGGAGCCTAGTTCATACCTAAGTTGTGGGGTCTATCCCTGGTCAGGGTGTAGATGGGAAGCAACCGATCGATATTTCTCACATCAATGTCTTTCTCTTTGTCTCCCTTCCTCTCTAAAATCAAACTTATCCTCAGGTGAGGATAAAATAAACTAGCTAAACTATTTTAGAGGTCTTGTGCTCAAAAACGGGGATCACATACTAAACCCTAAACTACATAGAATGATCTGAAATTAAAACTTAAAAAAAAAAAAAAAGACCCAGGGATTGAGGATATTTTCCCCCATTGATTTTTAGAGTGGAAGGGATGCAGAAATGGGGGGTGGGGGTGGGGAGTGAGGAAAAGAGAGAAAGGTCAATGTGTTAGACATCCATTGATTGCTTCCCAATGCACCCAGACCAGGGCTGGGGATTGAATCAGCAACCGAGGTATGTGCCCTTGTCGGGGAAACTTAACCCATGAACCTTCCACTGAGCCAAACCAGCCAGGGCTGAAATTAAAACTTCCTAAAGGGAATTTACGGCATGTAGTCATGTCCTGGGCTGGTATCATTTCTTGACAAAGGTCAATCTTTACCTTAACAGTGCCTGTCTTTTTTTTGGATAATGTACCTTTGGAATGTCGGTAATTTTTTTCCAAATCCCTCAGGGCACCATCTCCCAGGAGACCACAGAGCTCATTGTTATTGTTGTTAATTATCCTATACCCACTTAAGTAAAAGATGTCTCAATTCAAGACCTATAGTCAAGGCATATATAAGCAGCAACCAACGAATGCATAAATACATGGAACAACAAATCAATGTTTCTCTTTCTGCTCTCTACAATCAGTAAGAAGTTTTATCCCAGCTGGTGTGGCTCAGCAGTTGAGCATCAACCCATGAACCAAGAGGTTGCAGGTTGGATTCCCAATTAGGACATGGGTCAGGGCACATGCTGGGTTTCTGGCTCGATCCCAGTAGGGGGCAGCCAATCACTGTTCATCCCATCCACCTTTCTCTCTATCCCTCTCTCTTCCTCTAAAATAAAAAACTTTTAAAATTGCATTTAAGTATATAAATCTTTTGGCCTATGAAACTCTTGATTAACCAGGAATGATACATAAAACGACTTATTTCCATCTCTTCCCAACTACTTCTTAAATGGTATTTAAGTTTTCTAAACTTAAAATAAAATTCATCCAATAAAACCTCATCTTAATTTGCTGTTTTCCTCAACACCTATACACAGCTATGAAATCCTACCCTACCTTCCAAGTTAGCCTAAAACCCACTTGCTCCCACACTCATCATACATTGCGCCTCAGTGTGGTTTAGTTTTACTGCCCTGCTTCCCCCTCAAGTATCTCCTGGACAGCAACCCTATCCTGCTGCTTACAAGGGTAAAGCCATCACGGAGCACAAACCTTGAAATGTAAAGCACAGTAACATACAGAAAAGAAGGGGTAGCAAAAGGTTTAATAAAATCAAATCTATCGAGTATGCCTCCCATATACACTTATTTCCAATTGTGTGAAGCGGTTAACTGGCCTCCCAACCCTGGACTCCAATAATTGCTTCTTAAAATTTAATTATACAAGTTACAATTACTAATCTACCTCCCTCTAGATGCAATTGGATATGGTTGCCCATGGCTACATATGGCTGGTCCCAATTAGGATGTTAAAACAAAATACACACTGGATTTACAACACTTAAGTATGAAAATATGTAAAATCTTAACTAAAAATACTGATTACCTACTGAATTATTTTAGATGTTGTAATAGTTTTATTTGTTTAAACTTGGCTACTAATTTTTAAAACGGTGCACTAGATGAGTGCAAGATGGACCATGTCATTCTTTAAATGGCAAGCTCCTAAAATAGTGTAGAGCAGTGGTCACCAACCTTTCGGACCTCATGGACCACCGGTTGGCGACCACTGCTGTAGAGAAATACAGGAAGCAGTCAGTTACTGTGTGCTTTTATATCCACTATGCCTTAAAGCTTATGAAAATTTTTAATGAAATTAAAGGTATACACAAAACTGAAAAATGTTCATCTGTGATGCCAAAATAAAAAATCATTGTCATTGATTTTGTCACTGAAGCATGAAACCATTTCTCCACAGAACTGTTATACTCTGGGAAAACTAATTTAAAAATTTACCAAAATTCATTAAAAATCTTGTAATACAACCACTTGATTTTCCTGTATCACAAAAACATGCCTAACAAGCAAGTTGATCAGACTTAGTAACTCTGGTTTTTAAGCATAAAGGTTGTCCCTAGCTGGTCTTGCTCAGTGGATAGAGCGTCAGCCTGTAGACCCGGGTTCAATTCTGGTCAAGGACACATGCCTGGGTTGTAGCTTGATCCCCAGTAGAGGGCGTGCAGGAGGCAGCCAATCAATGATTCTCATCATTGATATCTCTCTCTCCCTTCCTCTCTGAAATCAATAAAAATATATTTTAGAAAATAATAAAGGTTTAAGTTTTACCACTATTCACAGTATTGTGCTACTACATTGTGGCAATCTTTCCCAAAGTATTTTTCTAGGGAAAGCTAATGAATTACAAGTTCTGTAGTCCCCTCCCATCACCAAATTTTTAGTACTTTACTTTCTAATGGATAATGAGCAAAGGGAATACAAAGAACTTGTTATAAGGCACTTTATTAAAATAAAAGTGCTTACATTCCTTTAAAGTATTAATCTATTTCCTGAATAACATACGGAATATTTAACAAATACTGTACACCAATTCTGGCCCTTTTAATAGTAGGAAAACAGTATTATTTTAATAAGTTTACTTGCTCCCAACTTCCTTTTACATTTTTGCTCACTATGGTACTGCCAAAAAAATTTAAAAAAAAAAAGAATTTTTAGCCAGTGTTTTCTAATAGAAATTGCAAAATGCTACAGAAACCATAAAATAAATTCAAATAATTCCAGGTAACTTAAATTACCACCAGTTTTGAGAAAACCATTTTTATTTTCATCACCACCCAGCTTATTTGAGCTGGTATGTACCAAATGGCCAGATCTTCTAAAGAACATCTACATAACATTTCTTTCATGTTTCAAGAGATGAAAATAACTGTACAAGGTTAAGTACAAAAGTACACAAGACAGCGGACACGAAAAAATCCATGTATGAGATTTTTATCCCACCTGCAGCTTTTATATATATTTTGAAAGTAGAATTCATGAACTAAAAAATATTGTCCTTCTATAGTCCTGTCAAGTTTAATGGAAGTGGGTTTAACCTAATTACAACACTAACACCAGTATCACTGATCTGATATTTACAAAAAAATCGTTATTTTTCAATAAATTAAAGTCAATGCAACACCCATGCAAGCTAGAATGCTAGCTGTTTGGTGAACAAGGACCTGACATCAGAACCAGAAGTTTAGAAAGTTCCAAACATTAAGCGATCTTTTTCAAACTGCATCCATTCCTCGCATTGATGATGTAAAACCCAATCCCATTCCTCTTTGTGTATGGGTCTGTGACCTTGCCATTTCATACTGAGCATCTAGATTCCTAAATACTTCTTCCTGTTGCTTCAAAGTCTTGTAACTTTCTTCATCAACTGAGCTACATCCAGCTTCATCTTCACTCTAAACAGACAGAAAAGTATTATTAAAATGAATTTAATAGGAATAAAAAGTGCTTCTCTCACTTGACAGTACAGGTAAATTACATTTTTGGGATACATATTTGACTTCAATTACTTAGCTTCATTCATTCATTCAGCACATGTGTTCCTTCTAGGATGTAACAAAAATCAACTTTAAGCCCTAACCGGTTTGGCTCAGTGGATAGAGCGTCAGCCTGTGGACTGAAAGGTCCCAGGTTCAATTCCGGTCCAGGGCATGTACCTTGGTTGCGGGCACATCCACAGTAGGAGGTGTTCAGGAGACAGCTGATCGATGTTTCTCTCTCATCGATGTTTCTAACTCTCTATCCCTCTCCCTTCCTCTCTGTGAAAAATCAATAAAATATATATATTTAAAAAAAAAAATCAACTTTAAGTGGATGGGCATGATGAAGAACGGGCAGCACATGCCAGACAGTGTAAATAGCCAGCTCAGTGCAGCTTAATATCCCTTTAATGAAAAACTAATTTCCTTAATAATGACCAATGTCTGAGCATTGAGGAACTTTCCATGAAATCTAACACTGTACCTGTATTACCCTTTACTCAGCAAAAACTCAATGTTCTAAAAAAAAAAAAAAAAAAAAAAGCTTCTTTAAAACTTTAAATATCAAAAGGGTCCTATTCCACCAGGTAGCATTAACCTTAAATTGAGAAGTGTTTATTCTTTTAAAGCAAATCCATTATTCCTTTTCATAAACAGAAGCTTATGAACTCAATGTTCACCCAAGGTACAAATACACAGTAATAATCAATAAACCTGTTAATTTAAAATAATTTGTGTTGTAAACCAGTGATAACAATATTTTAGTTAATTCTGTAAAATTAATGTGGAGAACATAAACAAACAAGAAAAGTACCCAGAGTTGATACATCACTGAAATAACTTTGAAGTTGAGAATCAATGTTACCCTGAAAATATGTTAGTATGATTTTAATAGAAAGTGTATATACTCACCTTAATACCCATTAGTTTCCTAAATTTGACATTTTGGTCCTTGTTTCCAAAATTCAACTTTTCCCATATTTCAGCAGACTGGGATTTGTCCTATTAAGAAATGGTGAACTTTTAGAATATGCAAAATTTAAATACCTTTTACTAGGGTATTAAATCTTTCCATAATATAGTATGAAGTAAAAGGAACAATAGCATTATGACATTCTATCAATGGAGTTTATAATTATACTAGAGGTGCGGTGCACAAATTTGTGCACCAGTGGGGTCCCCTGGCCTGGCCTGCGAGATGGGGCCAAAATCGGCTCTCTGACATCCCCCAAGGGGTCCCAGATTTTGAGAGGGCGCAGGCCAGGCCGAGGGACCCCAGGAGGGCTCCAGGGCGTGTCCGGCCCATCTCGCTCAGTCCCGATTGGCCAGACCCCAGCAGCAAGCTAACCTACTGGTCGGAGTGTCTGCCCCCTGGTCGTCAATGAATGTCATAGCAAATGGTTGAAGGCCTTGGCATATCATTAGCATATTAAGCTTTGAATGGTTGACTGGACACTTAGCATATTAGGCTTTTATTATATAGGATTAAGATTTCTACTATAGAATGAAGCAAAGAAAATTAAGTACGTCATAAAAAATAAATATATAACACTATTGGCTTGCTTTGAAAGCCTGACCCAGATGATGCATTTTCCTCCAAATTAAACTATTCTATCAGGTTCTCAGAAGAAAAACCCAGACTAATTTTTTCCAATTCATATTTGTTTTCCTAGGCAATTGCTAATTAGGAATAAATGACAAAAGAGGGGAATAGAAGAACTTACCCCTTCTTTCTTGCCTTGCCAAAGCATTTTCCTTTTTTTCTCTTGTTCAGCAAATTTCATTGGATTCACAGCTGCTGGGTTATAATAGCTAGGTACAGCTATTCCAGTTTCTGCCAAAGCTTTAGCCTGCAGGGCTGCCATCTGAGCTGCCATTGCTATCTGAGGAGTTACCTGCGTTCCCGATGCCAACAGGGCAGCCACATTGAGAACAGAACCCCCAGTAGCTGCAGCTGCTGGAAGATGAAAGAAGTATGACTGGGCATTAGGTTACAAAGCAGAAACATTATTCACCAACATTCATGGAATGTATTTGTTGATATATACATATACATATATTTCTATATATGACCCCTATATATACTATAACTTCATTTACCTCTTGAAAATGAAAAGAATTCTGCAAATAGTAAAAAGTTCGTTTCAAGGAAATGAACTTCGGTGCTTGTATCTAAACTTATAAACACAATAAAAACTTTTATTTGTATGGTTCTTCAGTTTACCAAATTATTTCAGACATTTCACAAACATTTAAAAATACTAAAACAAGTATTACGCACATTTAACAGATACTAAACAGAAAGACTTCTAATTACATTTTTCTGTCAGTCCAGAATACAAGTTTAAAAAGTTCTCTAAATTACTAGCTTTATTCCCACAAATGGTAAGTGTTAAAATTACCTGCAGCTATTTCTTGTTGTTTCTGTTTTTCAACCATTTCCTTTTCTCGTTGTTCTTGTAACTTCTTTGCCCTTTCCAATCTGTCAAAAACCATGTAAATCAATTTAAAATAATGTTATAAAACCAATATTTATCTTTGTACTTCTCTGAATGTGCACAAGTAGACACAAAACACTTCTAGAATTTTAAGTTTAACACTTTCCCAAGTTAAAATCTACACGTGGGAAAAAAGGGCAACCAGGGAATCACTGTTAAGATGCTATCAGTCACAGGTAAATATTTTAAAACTGGTTTTAAACATTTTTAAATTCACTAAATAGCCCAAAACTGGAATAATTTTCACACATAGTTCCCACAGAATATCGTTTAAAAATTGAAATGATTCAGTTTTTTTTTCAGTGCTAGTTACAGAAATAAGGGTAAAATGATATCTTACAAATAAGACTGAAAGCTGAGTAAGTCTTAGAGTATGTTAAGTAGTAAGTAAATAAGGCTTACAGATTTACCAAATGCTTCTTGGGGGAGGCTGACATAGAATAAGGCCAATCTACATGCAATGATTTTTGCATTTAAATAGACTTTATTATATAGCCTTCAAATTAATAAAAACAAAACAACCCAACCTCCTCACAATACAGGCACACAAATACAAACTGCTATCCTCTATAATCTAATAAAAGGGGGGTAAAAAACCTCAGTATTAGGAAATCACTTTTAGCAACTGCAAGAATTTATCATTAGCAAAGGAACTGGAAACATGAAACGCAAATTCATCCCCCCAAAATAAAAACATATTTCTGGCTCACATTAAATTCACTAATCAATACACACACGAAATGTGCTGCCAAGTCAGTACCTGCCCTAAATGGAAAATCCTAAGTAATATTATCTTCATAATGAGTTCCTGAAAGAGAAACCCTTTTCTTTGAAGAATTCCTTGATTTACTAATTACAAGTTAAAGGGCACCCCTTTTTCCCTGGAGTGTGTTATTATCAAGGGGCGAGGAATGTGGTATTATCAAGTAGTAAAACATAGTGGTAGTTCAGTTGTAGATCATTTTTTAAGTAAAACAAAATACAAAACAATAAAACAACACAAAAACCCCCCACCTTTTAGAAGGTAGTAAGTTTCAATTTTAATAAAATCCAAAAATTAAACAATAAACGTGTAGTAAATAAATGTTATGACTTAAAAAAATAACGGTCAGAGTTAATGGACCAATTCTTTATAAATGAGTTCAAATATTGTCGTAAATTATTTCCTAATTCTGTTGATCTTAGTTTTGAATGAAAATATGCTTGACTACTATTGATTGCACATTTAAAATGGCCACTGCAAGTTTGGAATAAACACCATTCACTAGGGTGAATGGAGTGAAGAAGGGGTGAGCTCACACCTTTGCTGCTGCTGCTGCTCAGCTGGAGTTTCTGCCAGGCTGGGTTCACAGGGCAGCAGCCCATCAGGTTACATTTGATAACTGTATTTTTGTAATGGAAAAAAAATACAAACTCAATTTCATAAAGAAAAAAGTAAAATCAAAAGAGTATAGTTTTCAGAATATGGGAAAACCTGCAAATAAGGACTTAGATTTTACTTTGTGACTTTATTGATGAGGCAGTTCTTTTAATGGTTTTGCAGATTTCACTAAGACAGTCCTGCTGTGTGTGGTCCCAACACACCTTTGAACCATTAGGAAATGGAAAAATACAATGGTCTCCCTATGCTCTCAGGAGTAAAATTTACAGTATCAAGTTAATTGGTTTATAATAAGGAAACCATTGACAAAATTCTACTTATTGTTTCAGAGATTCTTTTCTTGAAGGAGAAAAACAAACAAAAAACCCACAAAACAGTTTGAGGCAAACTCAACCAAGTTCTGAAATCTGATTTAAGATTTAAAAAAAAATTTCAATTCCAAACTAAAAATATTTAAGAGTCTAGAGTTGAGAAAAGTTCGTTAATCATGAAGGGAAAAAGCGGAACCCTTGTAGAATCTTTCCACAGTTGTGCAATAAGTAAATGTTTAGAGTAAGAAGTAAACTACTTACCTTAGTTCTAGATCACAGAGGTGCGACAGCATTCATGGCTATATTTAACTATTTCCATTATTCTCTGACTGAAAGCTTTCATTTTGTCCACACAATTGAACATCTACTTCAAGTTGAAAAGGGGAGAAAAATGGATCAAATAAAAAGAAAATAAACACACCTTCTAGCTAAAGCTTCTTGTGCATCCATTGCTGTGTTTCTGCCTCTGAAGGGAGGTGGACTAGGAGTTCCACTTAAACTTCTGCTAAATCTTCTTGGTTTTTCAATTCTCTTCTTTCTATCTCTGTAATAAATCATATTTTACATGTCTCAGTATGGCCCAGTAATAACTTTGTTGAATCAAAATCAATTATATTTACATGGTTCAACAAAAATAAAACTGCATAGGAAATATATTTTGAACCCTTTGCTTTCTGCCCGCCCTACATCTTCCACAGATATCCTAAGTTCCTTGTGTATATGGCTAGTTTCTAAGTTCATTTAACCGGCCCTGTTATAGATGGACATTTAGCTTAATTCCAATCTTGCTGCCGTTACACCCAATGTTGCAAAGACTAGCCATGTACATTAGTCATTTTATACTTGTGTAGGTCAATATATAGAATGCCTAATAGTAAGATGGATAGGTTAAATGTTCCTAGCCTTTTAACCTACAATGAATGAATTTGCAGATGTTTTAAAAAATACAAAGCATGAATCACTGTAACAAAGAATTAGACATATAAAAGATAGGCACTGATCAGAATAAAAAGTATCAATAGTTAAAACTAGAAATATCATAAATAATGATCTGAATTCCCCAAATGGCAATTTAAAAAATTAATGGTCAAATTACCACATACCTTAGATTCACTAAATCTTACAATTGTTAAAGCTCAAATGGGTAAACCACTACAAAAACTGATTACAAATGGATAAACTGATCAAACAAGTAATAAACCATGTTATTGTAATAAGCTCAAGTCCACTTTTATCTATATTTCCATCTATTAGATGGATGTAAACAATAAAATTAACAAAGTTTTTCCATTACTTTAGTAACAGTACCTGTGACTATATAGTACACTGTAATATTCTTATGTAAATGAGGACATATTCCCCGAATACTAAGAATGCCCCCCACGCTCCTTATTGTCCTGTCTCAACAAATTAAAGCCTCCTCTCAATCACGACAGGTTTGAATTAAGGTCATCTTTAAAAGAATTTAATTGATTGGGGTTACACTGGTTAATAACGTAAGTCTTAAGTGTACAATTCTATAAAGCATAATCTACGCTCATTTTTTTGGGTATCTGAGATAGTATATACAGTACGGTGGGTTAAGCGCATACACTGACTTTGCATTCAGACACATTTAGGAACTGGTCTGGGCTTTATCATTTAATAACTGTTTAATTTTGGGCTTCTGGGCAAGTTATTCAACCTCTCTAAGTCTGATGAGCCTAGCCCACAAAACAGTTGTTTTGAGAATCAGATGAGCGAATACACAGAAAGAACTATGCCGTAATATATACCACAGAGTAGGGATGCAAGAAGCTATTGTCATTATAACACGAGCACAATGAATTCAGTGTATCAAACAACTAAAATAATTTTAAATGGGACTATTCATATCTGCTTCACAACAATCTGGTCAAATTAGACTATGAAAGAATGCCACATAAATATTTAGACCTGTTCTTTCTCAGTTAGGATGTGATTATTCTGTAAATTTTGACCCACAATTTAAATATTCTCAGGTTGACAGAAGACAAACAGAGCCTGTGAAGGGCTTATTTGAATTTAACCACGATGGGGAATACCCACCGACTTCTACTCCTTGTCCTACTCCTGCTTCTACTCCTATGTCTGTGTCTTGATCTTGAGCGGGAACGAGATCGGATTCGGCGTTTTCTTTCCCTGCTTCTGGATCGTGATTTCTTCCTCTCTCTGCTTCTGGATCTTGACTTCTTCCGCTCCCTACTCCGGGATCGAGACTTCTTCCGCTCCCTGCTTCTACTACGATGACGCCTAAAATTAAAGCACAGAAATTTGTAGTTAGAAGTGTGTCTTTTCAATTTATAGATGTTACAAATTAGTTATCTGTAGTGTATGCAGTCAAGATACAATAAACTACACTGTAATGCGTACAGAAAAGATAGTTTGAGGTTTCTGCCAGCATGGGGGGCAGTGAAAAGTTACAATAAAAAATTAACCTTTGTTCTTGATGTCTCTTAGCAAACACAGTACAACTATAACACGTCAAAAAAGCAAAGCATCCTACCCAATTTAAGATTTAATAGTTCAAAACCTATTGCCTTACTAATGTATTTATAAAATTTAAGAACATAATCATGTTAAGTCTACTACTGAAAAATTTTGACTGAATCTACCACATATTCCCCACAGAAATCTACAAACAAGTTAAATACCCGATTCTTAAAACAAAAAACAAAAATTCCACAAATTGGAGCCATGACCCAGTATCTCAAAAATCTCTGCATTTTTATCTATACCACAAGAGGAACATCTAGATTAGAATTTAGGAGCAAATAAATCCTGTATCAGCAATGTAAAAAGATTGTTATATTGTTTAAATTATATAGACATAGTTTAGCAATGGAATTTTTTTCACTGCAAAAGATAGCCCAAAAGATTTCTATTAGTGGACATCAGTGAGAACAGGAATAGTCAAGTTAGGGGAAAAAAAAAAAAAGTTCTAATTAAGATTTCTGGGGGTAGTGCTGGGTAATGAGAAGCTTTATGCAATTTAGGGAGCTCTTTAAAGGTACTTATAAACACTAGAACTAGTTACCTTTCACGAGACCTAGATCTTGAGTGACTTCTGCCTCTTGATGACTTTCTTTCTTTGCGTTTGTGTCTGTCCTCACCATTTTCAGATGAATTTAGTCGCTCTCTTCCCTTATCAGAAGAGTGTTCTTTGTCATTATGTTCGTCAGACTTGTGTTTCTTAGAGGATTTATCTTTGGATTCATGTCTTCTTGCCTGTTTAAGAAGAAGTTGGTTCTTTCAGGAAAATAGTGCAACAAAGAAAGTTAGTATGGGTATCAGTAAACAAAAATGTTGTGATGCAACATTAGTAACCTTAGGAGTATGTGGCAAATTTTAAAAACGACCTAGTTTCACATCACCCACATGTTGCAGGTATATTACTAATTTTACCCTTTCTTTATAACCCCCCCCCCAAAGGCAGTTTCCTCCCCCAAATATTTTCAATACCACAATTAAAGCAATTTTCAACGTTGAAAATATGAACCCATAATGTTTTTTTTATCTAAAATAAGGGAAGTACACATGTATCAAAATTTTTGAAAATTTTCCAACAAACCTTTTAAATGAACAGACCAAATATATGCATCAACTTCTAAATCCAGAATATGTAATATTATTTGACATTTAAATAGTTAACAATAATAAAGATAAGAAGGACACATAGAAATGCACCAGAAAATGCATTTCAAGTTAGGTAGCTAAATAAAATTAATTTTACTAAGTATTAATATTTTCTGCAATTTCAAGTTACTTTACGCAGAGCTGAAGTGTCCTTTTTATAGCTATATTGCAATATCCTTTCTAAAAGACGTCTCTTGATTTTTCTCCCAATGTCTAAAACTGTGAGGCAATCACTTTTCATCTTGCAATATCCCAACAGGCTTGGAGTTCTATTACATTTCATGTACCTAGGATAGAAAATGGCAACCGTATCTGTTTTAATTTTTATGCAATCAAACTAGATATAACAATTAATTCCCATACCATAACACAATACATACTTCTCCCGTTATTTTGAAAGATTAAAAACCAAGGCTTTTGTTTTCACAACATTATGCATTCAGAGACTGAGCTAAAATAGTATGATCAAGTCTCCATCCTATACTCACATACTTAGTTAGAAGTGTAAACATCATATATTTCCCCACATTAATATTTGTCAAATCCATCTTGTGGCTAAAGCTTAAAATCCTGGACATCTCAGAACCACAATTTTAAAGCTCAAAGGAAACTCAGACCCTCTGACTTTATGTAACAAAACTAAGATCTAGTCACAAAGCTACACAGCAGCAGAGCTGAAACCAGGCCCCATGTTCTCCTGATGCTCAGCCCACTGCTTTTCTATGAGAGGACACTTATTTCATGTTTCCCAAAATAGGCTGTAAGTTATTTCTTTACACTCAAGATTAATTTGAAAACAAACATTTGGCCAAACATTTTAGAACATGCATGATGATATATCTGAAAATGATGATAGTATTTATTATTTTGCAGAAAAATAAGAGACCTGGAGACACAGCTAAATTTTAGTTTCATTGCCAGTTCTCTAAAATGAGCTTATAAAAAATATTCCCTTGATTTTGCCATACAGCAGCAAACTGTAAAGGTGTTTAGTTAAACTTCCAAAGGTTTTAGAGTTTATTTCAAACCAGTTTTTCACTTGTAACATTACTATTAATTTTTTTAAAAAACCATTAAAACCCTTAACTGATTTAAGATATACTTAAGGGAAATAGGAGTTTGAATGACTAATAGTTACCTTATCATGAAGTAGGCTTATTATTTTGCTATCTGAGTCTGCAGCGTCTTCAGTTCAGTCTCTTCGCGCATTAGCACGCTGAGTATGATTTATTATAGAAATGTTATCATGTGAGCTAAACAAAATAGTCATTTTCACAAAAACTCTCCTAAATTAAAAATTTAACAGAGCTTCCATTAGGGGAAGAGGTGAAGTCCCTGCCCATGTTTGTTTTAGGACCCTTGCCCAGCCCCCATAAGACTCTGCACTTTTTGGCCGCTACTTCTGATATCCCTATTGGCTCGCTGTCTTCTCAGGTGGGTTAACTCCTTTACAATAGAGCTGCTGCCTTTCTTTTTCCTCAAGTTTTGCTGTCACCGCCACTTTTCTAGCTGTCCCTCACTGATGCTCTTACTTCAAAATTCAATACCACTATTACAGAAACAGAACTATAGTTAACTAATGAAAAGAGGACTCTTGTTATCTTCCATAAAGAAAAAGTAGCCCACAGATATCTAGTGTATTGCTATTTAAAAATCCTGAATGGTTATCAGGCATAAGGAGACTCGGGACCTCAGATTAATGGAAGCTCTGTGTGACAGGCCTAAAAATCCAATTATATTCTTCATATGAAATTTTTATTGTGAATACTTTCACAACACAATAAAATTAATAGTTTTTGAATGAACTTTTCATATAAACAACTATCTTCTTGAAAAACGATGAATCCAAATCATGCTTATTTTATAATTCAATTAAACCTTTTAAATGTCAAGTTTTGGTACTTACCTTGACAATATCACATATTCACACACAAACATTTCTACCAGATATTTTACAAGTACTTTAAACTGCCTATTCACTACAAAGTGTTAATTACCTCTTTGCTTCTGCTCCGGCTCCTGTGTTTTCTTCCTTCATTATCTGTGAAGACACAAATATTCACCATAAACAAAGATACAGAATCATCTCAAACACAAATTTCAATACTCATATAAAGAACAATTTCCAGTCTATTTGACTTACTAGTAGTCTCTTTCAGAAACTGTTTTTTTTAATAGCAGAGTAGGGTTATTCTACCACATTAATACTGTACATATTTAGGACATATCAAGCAATATGAACAAACCAGAATATAATCAAGAGACAGAAGCAAAAAAAAAAAAAAGTTACATGACAAGTAAAAAAGACATTGTCTTTTAGACTCAAAATCGTTTATAATATGGACACAAAGGATAAAGAACTAGAGCTCAAGCCTTAAACTTGTAACTCATTACTATTCTACTTCTCTTAACCTCTTTATTAAATAGTAATACTTTTTTAAAAATAGCAAAAAATCATGCTATCTACAATGCATCAGTCTAGTTTTTTAAATAAATGAATAAGGTGCATTTCTAAATGCCAAACCTCTTGCTTCAGAAATACTCTAACATTAAATAAATAAAAAAAGTGAAGTCCTGGCCGGGTAGCTCAGTTGGTTAAAGCATCATCCCAATTTGCCAAGGTTGTGGGTTCGATCCCCAGTCAGGGCACATACAAGAATCAAGCCAATGAATGCATAAATGGGTGGAACAACAAACTGATGTCTCTCTCTCTGAAAAAATCAATTTAAAAAACCACACACCAAAAAACAAAGCCCAAGGCTAAAAATGTTCTTGTAACTTACAACAAAGGATATTAAATAAGTCTAGAATAATATACCTCTGTCCAGACTACTACATCTTTCAACATATTTTGCCATTGTTGAAAAATGAAACTTAAACATCATAGTTAAAAAGTAGTCACTATGACACAAATTTAAACATACACTGTAGCCTTTGGACAAGTAAGAAAATTTCTACATTAGAATATTTGTATTGCTCATAACTGAAAAGGTCTCCAGAAAAATCACCAATGGATTTTCATTATCCATCTCTAAACTGGGGAGAACACATTACTTATATCAACAAACAGTTTGTCTTATACATGTTTACCGATTATGCTGGTAGTATTTATTACCATTTTCAGCAATTCATACCTGACTTTCGTTTTCTTTCTCTTGACCTTGATCGTGATCTTGAATAATGATGTTTTGAGGCTCTAGGAGAAACAGATACATCTGACTGCTCTTTTTTCTTATCGCTATCTGGGGATGTCTTTTCTGGGGCTAGTCCATCTCGCTCTGTATCACTAGCCTAAAAGTTTAAAGGAAAATGATTGTAAGTTCTTAATTACATTTAAAATATTACCAATTTTTTAAAAAATGTATTTTATTGATTTTTTTACAGAGAGGAAGGGAGAGGGATAGGAGTTAGAAACATCGATGAGAGAGAAACATCGATCAGCTGCCTCCTGCACACCCCCTACTGGGGATGTGCCCGCAACCAAGGTACATGCCCTTGACCGGGTTCGAACCTGGGACCTTTCAGTCTGCAGGCCGACGCTCTATCTACTAAGCCAAACTGGTCAGGGCACCAATTTCTTAAAAGAGAGGGTGGGGAGCCCAGTTGGCATGTCTCAGTGGTTGAGTGTCAAACTATGACCAAGACGTCACGGTTCGATTCCTGGTCAGGGCACATGCCCAGGTTGCAGGCTCAATCCCCAGTGTGGGGCATGCAGGAGCCAGCCAATCAACAATTCTATCACTGATGTTTCTATCTCTCTCCCTCTCCCTTACTCTCTGAGATAAATTAAAAAAAGGAGGATGGGGAGGGGAGGGAAGATAAATAGGCATGAATAAATCAAAATGACTAACCCAATACCAAAGGCATATGCAATTAGATTAATGTATTTTTAAAAAAATATATATTTTATTGATTTTTTACAGAGAGGAAGGGAAAGGGATAGTTAGAAACATCAATGAGAGAGAAACATCGATCAGCTGCCTCCTACACACCCCCTACTGGGGATGTGCCCGTAACCAAGGTACATGCCCTTGACTGGAATGGAACCTGGGACCCCTCAGTCCTCAGGCCGACGCTCTATCCACTGAGCAAAACCGGTTAGGGCTAGACTAATGTATTTTTAATCATTTTTTTAACTTTCAAAATAAGGGGGAAGAGAAGGGCTCGAACTATTTCCAATGAACATTCAAATAGAGAAAATTTAGTTCATTTAAAATTTGTGAACTCAATTAGCCAACTTTAACAATACCTTTAAATGAGCTGTTCAAGAGACTTCCATGCCCATACTGTAAAATCTTAACCCTTTGCGGTCCAATTTTATTTTTGGAATTCAAACAGTCTGATCCAAATTAATTGACGGGATTGAATGTTGAAGTTATCTGTCTCACTAGACCTCAGCTCGACATTGTACCTGCTCCTAGCGCCTGGTGTGTCGAGTCAGCCTCCACGTTGGACCGAAAAGGGTTAAAATAGCAGAGAGAATACTGCTGAAAAGAGTAACAGAAAATTAACTTACCTATCTGAGAACCCAATCTTAATTCCATTAACCCTCTTTAATGAAAACAGCCCCTTGGCAGAGTGCTGCTGCAAAATATGGTCTGCCTCTCCTCACATATGCTATGGAAACATTAAGTTTTTTTTCTGCTTTAAAGCAGTTTTTAAGTTATCACAATATAAGAAAATTTACGTTAGTCAAGTTAACTGTACATACTCTTTCCTAGAGACCCCATATACCTCAAACTAGATTCTGTCATCTAAATATCACTTTGTTTTCCAGTTTACAGAAGGCAATTTCATCTGCCTTGCACATAACTACATAGTACTTAGCAAAGAAATAAATGAATTCTAGTTATTAGTTTTCTGTTAAAAAATATTTCTGGGGCTCTGCTGAACAGTGTGGTCCAAATTACAAATAACCCGAGGACCACCACAAAGCAAGAAATTTATATAAATGAGTCAGATTAATATGCTTGGGGAGTTGATTACTTAGGACAGGGGCTGGCAAAATATGACTCTTGAGCTAAGAATGACTTGTGTATTTTTTAAAAATGTTTTTATTGACTTCAGAGAAGAAGCGAGAGGGAGCTAGAAACATCAATGATGAAAGAGAATCATTGAGCGGCTGCCTCTCACAAGCCCCTACTGGGGATAGAGCCCGAAACCCGGCTGTTTGCCCTTGACGGGAATGGAACCCAGGATCCTTCAGTCTGCAGGCAGACACGCTCTATCCACTGAGCCAAACCTGTTTCACATTTTTAAAAGCATTGTCAAAAGGAGTGAACAAACAAGTCAACCAGCAAAGAATATGACAGAGATTCTATGTGGTCCACAATGCCTAAAATATTTATGATCTTGCCCTTTACAGAAGAAAGCCGAATATCATTATAAAATATCAGCAGGAATAAAACATAAAATTCTCCCCTTAGGAAGGTTAGTTCAGAAAACAAACTTTTTAATAAATGAGGTGTGAGAGTTTGCATTATTTCAACAATTGATTACTGAGTATAAAAATGTACCAAACTCCATGCTAGACTCCAGGAATAAAATTATAAATTAAAAAGGAAAGATTTACAGGCTAGTTGGGATTAAACACATAAGTTATGTGTTAAGCCTCTAACAATGGTACCCAAAACCCCCCAGCAAGAAACACAAGGACCCTGGTCAGATAGCTTGGTTGGTTAAGAGCATCGTTGTGATATGCCAAGGTTGCAGGTTCCATCTCTGGTCAGGGCACATACAGGAAACAACCAATGAATGCATAAATAAAGAAGTGGAACAATAAATCGATGTTTCTCTCTAAAAATCAATCAATAAAATAAAAAAATCTTATACTGAAAGGCTTCCATCCCTTAGAATCGAGCTCAACTTTCTCATTTTAAAAATGAGATCCAGCAACACAGCTGACTCATCTAAAGATGATACTCCTGTGTCCTGTTTTGTTTAAAAAAAATAAAGATGATACTCCTCACTGTCTACTATTAACAAATGGTGCTGTATTAAACAATTAAAGATTCTGATTTTCACAACACTGGTCCTTTTTTAAATAAGAAATTGCAAAAACTGGGAGCACTGCTGTCACTTCTCACAGTGCCTGATACACCAAGAGCGCATTCCAGAACCACTGGCACAGCTCACTTTTACAGTTATCATGACTAGAACTGAAAACCACCTTTCCACGGAAAAGCCAACATCTAGGCAGGCAATAAAAGTTTTCTGGGTTTATTTAGCAATACATGCTTAACATCACGAAAGACTGGCTTTTAAAGGAAGTCCAATGCCCTCGGCTTGAGGAAAGGCACCTGGTCTTACAGGCTGCCTAATGACACCCAACAGCCATTTCCATCTGTAAACACACCATAGGTCAACAAAACCACCCCAACACTCAACAGACAGGAATGATAGGCAGCGGTTTAGCTCATGCAGAACTTTTATTTACTCGAGCATATTTTAAACTAGCATAATGAAACTACCACCCCCAACCAATTGAATATTGAATTTCTCTAACAATTTATAACCTTTTACCCTACTAAGTTTGGTTCAGTGGATGGAGCTTCAGCCGGCAGACTGGGTCCCAGGTTTGATTCCAACCAGGAGCACATGCCTCATTCAGTTGCAGGCTCAATCCCTGGCCCCGGTTGGGGGCGTGCAGGAGGCATATGATGTGTTTCTCGATCTCTCCCCTATCTTTCCCTGTCTCTTCCACTATCTCTAAAGCTCAAGGGAAAAGTATCCTCGGTGAAAATGAAAAAAAAAAAAAAACCTTTTTAAATTTCTAAGCTTTTCATTTAGCAGGGACTTCTACATGAACACCTTAAACTGCAAAACTGCCCTGTACTCCAGCATTTGCTCTAGTGGAAGGCCACCATTGTTTCTTGAAATTTACATTTGGTTTAAAACCCTAGTAAAGCTCAAGACATAGCATACACACATTTTTCCCAGTGCAAAGAAGATAGATGGATTTAATACTAGGCCACTTCTCCAGGAATTATGTCTTTTTATTGAAGGAGGAACTGCAGAAACACGTTTGAGTTGATTTCATTTTTAAAAACATGAGACCAGGTGAAATACATTAAGAGGCCCAAAACACAAAACAAAGGAAAACATTAAATCGATTAGTTGCATAAATACAAAATAGCCTGCCAACTGTCTGAAACCTTATTATATATATATATATGTATATAAAAAATAGATTGCAAATTCAAACAATTCAGTGTGTGTGTGGGGGGACCATCCTTACTAATTACTGATATCCCAACTAATAGGAACAGTAAACTACGTATTTTTCATTATGCTTACCAGTACTATTTATTTTCGAAAATGAGGAAATCTTTTTAGTCACTGGAAAAGAATGCAAAATGCCTGCATTTTTCTTTTAGCGGGATTAAGTAAAAATGAAGTAATTACACAATACTGTAACGAGATCCATCGGGTTCGGGCGTCTTAAGCCCAAAGCAGGCTTAATGTTTAGAAGAGATCACTTAAGAGCTTTATTTTTTAAAATTTAAGGTTAAATAGGACACCTCAGAGTGTTCTATTTAACGGAACGATCCAAAGATAGGGCTTGATTATAATGCTTCAGCAAGACTTCAAACCGATTCTATCATGAGCCGCTCGGGAAACGGAGCATCAATCAGAATCCGTCGTTCCAAAGCCTTTTCTAATGAAGTCGCATTTTCACTCCCTTCCACCAACATCTTCCCCAATGAGGAATAAACGAAGGTTTACACAGACGAAACGCTAACTGAAACTATGCAACTAGAATCATCTTTTTGAACGTAAGCAAAAAACAAAACAAAACAAAAAAACCGCTACAAGACTGCTCTTTTCACCGTTCTATCCCTTCTAGACCTTACTTGACCCAATATTTTTCAGACGACCCGGATCACTTTTCTCTCTGCCCCATCGCGAACGTATTCCCAAGTCCTTAATGAAACTCCATGTAAATCAATGACCCGAGGGATTAAGCTTAACTGAAGGCAGTTCTGCGGGCCGAAAGGGAAAAATAAAAGGGAAGAGGAAAGTTCTGGAAAAAGACACTCCTTGCAGCTCCCCACCCCCACAGACACCGCGTTAGTCCCCCTCCCTGAGGCCGGCAGCCATGATGGCGGGCGCAGAAGAAGGCCGCGGCGCCATTTTGTCCACACACGCGCGGACAACAGCTCCGGCAGCCGTTCGCGCACTCTTTGAGAGAAGCCGAAAAATATCCCTGGCTTCCAACTCAGATTAGGCACCTACCTCCATAGTCAGAGTCCTGGCCGCTAAAGCGGCTCCTCTACTTGCCGCTCTCAACAGTACTAGTCGCCCTGACGCTTCGCCACAGACTGAACAACTCGGGCAAAAAGACCCGGATGGCACAAAGGGGAAGAGGCCCGGCGTTCCGCACAGCTTGCTGGGAGTAAAGAGGGTGGTGATAAGACTCGCTATAGCAACGCGGTGATCGGGGCAGTGATTGGTTGCTCTTTGGAAGGGGGCGTGGAATGCCTGGAAGGAGGGCGGAGCCTCTAGAGGGCTCAGCCTGGCGACCGGAAAGGGTGGGATTTAGGGTGGGGCGACTTCCTATTTCGATTCTACAGCAGTCTTGGCCTTGTCCGGCCGCCGTAAGAGGGGTTGGGCTTGGTCTTCTCCCGCCAATTTAAAGTCGGGCTAGAACCTGAAGACCTTAAGGGCGGTTAGTGTCCAAAAGAGCGGCCCTAAAACTGAGTGTTCCGCTTTAGTTTCTCCAATTGCAGGTGAGGATTGTCTCTGTGTGTGTGTGTGTGTGGGGGGGGGGATTGTCGCGCTGCTGTAGGGACTGGGAGTGGGTCCAGGTCGAAGTAGCAGCGCCCTCAGCACAGTTTGGGGTGTTTTCCCTTCCAGACTCTGGTGGGAGAGGTTCGAGTCGGTTCTTGCTGGTCCCGGCGTCCAGCCGATGTTGATGCACGGTGGTCTGATTGATACTGTTTCATTTCACTTAATTCGCGGATCTGTTCTCCAGCCAGCAGCCAAAGTGCTCCCACGTCATTAGTTAAATCGTATCACTCAGTTTGCTTGGTGTCTTCTCCCGTGTCCTGAGGATAAACCCAACCTGGAAGTCGAGGATGCGTTTAGCTCCCGCACTGTTCCATTCTCGCCCCAAACTCGTCCCAGCCTCTGAGACTTGGCAACTAATAGTTGGCTTCTTGCTGTTCGGGTCTCAGCTTAGATTTCATCTCCTTCCCTTTCCAAACAGGTCCTCCTTAAGAGACCCTCCCCATCCCTTAGCACCGTTTTGTTTACTTGATACACTTGACCTGTTTGTAATTGTTTGTGCGTTTGTTTATTTTTTCGTAGGGAGGGAGTGTAACAGGTCATAGCAGGCGGAGATTGGCGTTTTCTTGTCTCGCTGCATCATTTACTCGCTTTAGGTGACCGTGGCCGTTTATTTAATCTCATCTGTCAAATGGGCTGTTGTGCTGACTAAATGAATAAAACATTCCAAACTATCTTGTATACTCAATACGTGTTAACTATTTTATTTATGACCTTCCTACAAGAATATACACTTCATGCCTGGCCGGTGTGGCTCAATGGTTGAGCATCAACCAGGAGGTCACCATTGGATTCCTGGTCAAGGCACATGCCTGGGTTGTGGGCTCTGTCCCCAGTAGGGGGCGTGCAGGAGACAGCCGATCAATGATTCTCATAAATGATATTTCTCTCTCTCCCTTCTCCCTCCCTCCCCCCCCTCCCGCTCCCTTTCTCTCTAACATCAATAAGAACATATTTTTAAAAAAAGAATATACACTTCATAATGATAAAACCCTTTTCTGCCATCACTATTTTTACAGATGTGGGACACTGAGACCCATAAAAGTATTCACTCTACTAGTATCCTGCCACGCCTGTCTCAATCTCCCAACTCCCACCGGAACACCAGCCACTAAAACTATGGGCTATTCTGACAAGCTTTCTTTCTGTGCCCTTGCTTACGCTCTTAGTAAGAACTCTTCTCCTGTATTTAAAGAGCTCCTCTAACAAAAACTCACTGTTGTCCACCTGAAACTAATATGACTTTGTTTGTTAATTCTAATTGAAAAATAGCCCTAGCTGGTTTTGCTCAGTGGATAGAGTGTCAGCCTGCGGACTGAAGGGTCCCGGGTTGCAGGCTTGATCCCTGGGGCACACAGGAGGCAGCCAATCAATGATTCTCTCTCATCATTGATGTTTCTATCTCTCTCTCCCTCTCCCTTCCTCTCTGAAATCAATAAGAATATATTTAAAAAATATAAAAATAAAAAACTGTGACCTTAAATTATTACTGCTTCCACCAAGAGCAATAATAAATTCGCTAACCCTTAAAATGGAGTGCTTTCCATGAACCAAGAATTATTTTTTTTATAATATACTTTATTGATTTTTTTACAGAGAGGAAGAGAGGGATAGAGAGTTAGAAACATCAGTGAGAGAGGAACATCGATCAGCTGCCTCCTGCACACTCCCTACTGGGTATGTTCCCGCAACCAAGGTATATGCCCTTGCCTGGAATCGAACCTGGGACCCTTGAGTCCGCAGGCCGACGCTCCATCCACTGAGCCAAACCGGTTAGGGCCCAATAATTATTTTGTGAACATTTAAAACCCATAACCTTTCAGGTAGGTACAACTATATTCCTATTCTATAGGTTAGCAAATTGAGAAACAAAGATTAAGTTGCTTGCTAAAGGACAAGTAAATATGGAAGAGCGCATAGTTTACATAAAAATTTTCCTTCCCTGTGCTGCACTTGCCATAGATTTTAAAACATATTCTGACGTGTATCAAAATAATTGTAATTAGCCGGACTGGCGTGGCTCTGGTTGAGAGTCAACCTATGAACCAGGAGGTCACGGTTTGATTCCCCGTCAGGGCACATGCCGGATTGCGAGCTTGATCCCCAGTGCGGGGTGTGCAGGAGGCAGCCAATCAATGATTGTCTTTCATCATTGATGTTTCTCCCTTTCCCTTCCTCTCTGAAATCAATAAAAAATATATATATTAAAAAAACACACAATTGTAATTGTTTGGTTATTGTTCCCCAGCAGTCTTAAAGTCTTAATCCAGAGATTGTTTTTCATTTTTCATCTTAGTATTCTGTTCTGACTCAGACCGCACATAAAATGAGTTATATAAATCTTTGTTGAGATGGTTATATGACTAAGGTTACAGATATACTCTTTGATTCAGCCAGAAACCTAATCCAGGTTTTTCTTCTTCCCCAGTATTGTTCATTTTTGTAAGATACTGGAAACATAAATGGATATTTATTTATTACTATTTTTTATTTTTATTTATTTATTTTAAATATATCTTTATTGATTTCAGAGAGGGAGGGAGAAGGGAGAGAGAGATAGAAACATCAATGATGAGAGAGAATCATTGATTGGCTGCCTCCTGCACACCCCCTACTGGGGATCAAGCCCGAAACCTGGGCACGTGCCCTTGACTGGAATCGAACCTGAGACCCTTCAGTCCGCAGGCTGATGCTCTACCCACTGAGCCAAACCAGCTAGGGCTATTACTGTTTTTTAAATCTCATCTGTGTTCTATGATATAGATTACCCCATTTTAAAAAATATGTTTTTTTTTTATTTCAGAGAGGGAGAGATAGAAACGTCAATGATGAGACACAATCATTGATCAGCTGCCTCCTGCATGCCCCTCACTGGGGATCAAGTGGACAATCCACGCATGTGCCTTGACTGGAATCGAACCCTGACCTGATTCATAAATCAACGCTCAGCCACTGAGCCACACTGGCTGGGATAATGGACATTTTTTTAAAGTTCATCTGGAACCTTACCATCCTAAGATATCCCATACAATCTGACTTCAGAGCTTTTATTGATTTTTTGCTCTACTGCTTAAAGGTTTATTTCAAATGAAACCTTATTATAATTTCAAGCCAGGTACACAAAATGCTAGAAACTCTAGGATGACATTGATAAGATTAGAATTGTTATTGTTCCTAAACCAATATGTGCTTATCTGGTGATAATCATAGCCTTTTCATTTCCCAACAAACTGGATCTGTTAAACAATAAAAACTGGTGTCTAATTTTGCGTATTGTCATAGGGAAGGCAGTGATTCTCGAATCAAAAACAGTCTCAGAAACATGTGGAATGAGATTGAGCTGCTAACAAGTGATGATACAGGAAGTGGGTACCTAGGTGTTGGATCAAGAAAAGAACATGGAACTGCTTTATATCAAGTAGATTTACTAGCCAAGATCTCTTCCGAAAAGGTAATGATTCTGATGCTGTTATTCACAGAATTTTACTGAGTGTTTGATAGGCCAGTAGATACCTGGTAAATGTTTTGTGAATGAATATAGCACCCTCTCAGGTAATCGAGGTTCAGTTTCACATTATTGGAAATTTCCATCTGAATTCCCCTTATATCTTTTTAAAAGAAAATATATTTTATTGATTTTTTTATAGAGAGGAAGGGAGAGGGATAGAGAGTTAGAAACATCGATGAGAGAGAAACATCAATCAGCTGCCTCCTGCACACCCCCTACTGGGGATGTGCCCATAACCAAGGTACATGCCCTTGACTGGAATTGAACCTGGGACCCTTCTGTCCGAAGGCCAACATTCTGTCCACTGAGCCAAACCAGCTAGGGCCCCCTTATATCTTAAGATTTGTATTTTCAAACAGAACTTTTCCTAGATCAGGAAGGAGGAAATAAAACTGTCTTTGTTCTCACATGACATGATTGTCCATGTCGAAAATCTGAAAGAATCGACAAAGAAAACTGTAATAATAAGTGATTATAGCATGGTTGCAGGATATAAGGTTAATATGCAAAAGTCAGCAGCTCTCCCTGGTACCAGCAATGAACAAGTGGAATTTTAAATTAAAAATACAATCAAAGGAAATCTGTGACCTTGGATTAGGCAAAGCCATTTTAGATAAGATGTTAAAAGCACAAGCAATGGAAAAAGAGATAAATTGCACCTTAGATGTATATTACTAAGTGGAAGAAGCCAATCTGAAAAGGCTACATTCTCTGTGATTCCAACTAGACTGTATGACATACTGAGTAAGAAGAAGACAGGAAAAAGATCAGTGGTTGCCAGGTGTTGGGGTTGAGAAGGAGGGATGAATAGGCAGAGAACAAGATTTTTAGGGCAGTGAAAATACTCTGTATGGCACCATAAGGGTAGCTGCCTGTCATTTGTCTAGACACACAGAATATACAACACCAAGAGTGAACTATAACGGAAACCATGTACTTGGGGTGATTATGTTGTGTCAATGTAGCTTCATCCTTGTAACAAATGTATCATTCTGGTGAGAGATGCTGATAATGGAGTCTATGGATGTGTGGGAGCTGGGGGTATATGGGAAATCCTCAATTTCGCTGTGAACCTGAAACTGCTCTGAAAAAATAATCTTAAAAAATTAGTTAGCCCTAACCGGTTTGGCTCAGTAGATAGAGCGTCGGCCTGCAGACTGAAAGGTCCCAGGTTCAATTCCAATCAAGGGCATGTACCTTGGTTGTGGGCACATCCCCAGTAGGAGGTGTGCAGGAGGCAGCTGATCGATGTTTCTCTCTCATCAATGTTTCCAACTCTCTATCCCTCTCCCTTCCTCTCTGTAAAAAATCAATAAAAATATGTTTTTTAAAAAAAGTTAAACAGTTCAAGCAGAGAGAACAGCATGGATTCATCTCTAGAAAGTGAAAGCACAGTTCGTGTTTTGCAATGCCTTGTGTAACTTTTCACTAGTCGAAGAAGCAAGTGAAAGAGCATAAGGGGTCAGAATGAGGTGGAGTTTTCAAGAATTACACCTGGAGAAGGTGACCAATGAAGTAGGCATAAAATGAACCGATTAGCCTAAAATTGACCATGGAAGAATATAGTTAACGTTTATTAAGCATGCTGTATGCAAGGCTGTCTTCTAAGCCCTTTACATGAGTTAATTTCATCTCCAAACAAGCCAGTGTTGTAGATATTATTAAAGGGTGTCCCAAAATTCACGCAAGAAGTAATTTTGATAGAAAACACAGGTTTATAATTAAAATTTTTTTATTGATTCATAAAGTATACAGTATAGGGTTATGTATGGAATAGCATATCGGGTAAATGGCCTCCACGGCTTTGCTGGCACATACACACTCTTTTGTTGAAATTTTCCATGACCGAAATGCGGCTGCTCAGGCAATAACAGTTAATGGTGCTCGCTATCGCGACATGATAATCCAGTTTTTTGTGCCTAAATTGCAAGATATGGATGTGGACAACATGTGGTTTCAACAAGATGGTGCCACATGCCATACAGCCTGAGAAACAATTCAATTACTGCATGAGTCATTTCCTGGTCGTATAATTTCCCGTTTTGGTGATCAGAATTGGCCGCCCAGATCATGCGATTTAGTGCCGTTGGACTTTTTTCTTTGGGGTTTTTTGAAGTCTAAGGTTTATGCCAACAAGCCCACGACCACCCACGCCTTGAAGGAGGAAATTGCGCTGTATCAACAAAATTCAGCCACATTTATGCAAAACGGTCATGGAAAATTTCAACAAAAGAGTGCGTATGTGCCAGCAAAGCCGTGGAGGCCATTTACCCGATATGCTATTCCATACATAACCCTATACTGTATACTTTATGAATCAATAAAAAATTTACAATTTTTAATTATAAACCTGTGTTTTCTATCAAAATTACTTCTTGCGTGAATTTTGGGACACCCTTTACTATCCCTATTTTACAGGAGAGTCAGTTGAGACATTTGTCCAGAGTACTCAGCTTTTTCAATCTCCAAACTGTCCAACTGCTTCAGGTTACATATGTGTGGGAAGCTTTAATCAACAGAAGCTGAAAACAGGAGACTCATATTTGGCTTGCATAGTGCTTTTTAAAATGTTGACTTAGCTGCCAGTGTTTAAAAATCAGAACATTTCACATAAAGATGCAGCTTTTCTTTTTTTAAAAAAAATATATTTTATTGATTTTTTTTACAGAGAGGAAGGGAGAGGGATAGAGAGTTAGAAACATCCATGAGAGAGAAACATCCATCAGCTGCCTCCTGCACACCCCCTAACTGGGGATGTGCCCACAACCAAGGTACATGCCCTTGACCAGAATCGAACCTGGGACCTTTCAGTCCGCAGGCCGACGCTCTAGCCACTGAGCCAAACTGGTCAGGGCGATGCAGCTTTTCTTGAGAAATTGGAAGATGTGGCCATGCCTGGCATCCCAAGGGGCTTTAATCTGGCTGATTTTGCTCTCTCTCTCTCTCCTTCTCTCTCTTTCTCTTTTCTTTACTGGGACGCTTCGCGAATTTGCAGGTCATCCTTGTGCAGGGGCCATGTTAATCTTCTCTGTATGGGTCCACTTTTAGTATGTGTGCTGCCAAAGCAAGCACTGATGTTGCTCTCTTTAAGTTTGTGTGGGCATGTACTCTCCAGTTCACAATACACCGCAGTCCCCGTCCCTGTCATGTCCCAGACCTGGAGACTTTATGCCAATCCTGGTTTGTTTATGTTGATGCCTGCTGGCTCCTATTGGCCTGAGATCAACCCGTAGGGAACCAAGGCTTGTGTTTAGGAAACCTTTGCCCTTTCCTAGCAATCCTGGACTATTTCCCTATTTTGTAATCTGAGTGGATTCAAGATACACTGTACAAAGAAAAAGCTTGACCAATTAGACACATGGGCTAAAAAAAAAAAAAAAAATAGGCCTGTCAGGTTTTAAACTTGGGTACTTGGGACTATGATGCTACTGTTGATCAGTATTGTTGAACATGTATAAAAATATCTTATTTTACTCATGCTTTTCCCTCCCACAGGCCTCATTAAATCCAAAGATACAAGCATGCAGCTTAAGTGATGGGTTTATCATTATAGCCGACCAGTCAGTGATACTGCTTGACAGTATTTGTAGATCGCTTCAGTTGCACCTTATATTTGGTAAGTTTAACATACTGTAAAGCAATAAAATATATTGGAAGCCACGTATTTGCTACCAATTTCTACTGCAATGCCTTTTCTTTATTACCTCTCAGACTCGAACTTGGACTAATTTCAAGACATTAATCTTGAGTGCCTTTTTTGTGCTGAGTTATTAGACTCAAAAGATATTGGGGTGAACCCTTCTCAGTAGGTCTAAGGCAGCGGTTCTCAAACTGTGGGTCGCGACCCCTTTGGGGGTCGAACGACCCTTTCACAGGGGTCGCCTAAGACCATCCTGCATATCAGATATTTACATTACGATTCATAACAGTAGCAACATTACAGTTATGAAGTAGCAACGAAAATAATTTTATGGTTGGGTCACAACATGAGGAACTGTATTTAAAGGGCCAGAAGGTTGAGAACCACTGGTCTAAGGGGAAACATACAGGTAAAGCTACAATTTACTTTACTGGCATGGCTTTTGTATTAGAATACAGTAGGAAACAGTTGAGCCCAGTTGTGTTCAGGTACCTGAATCTTGTACATAATTTCAGTATCATCAACAGATATTTGAATACTTTTAGAATGTGTAGCACTATAAAAAGCTTTCTCAATACTTATGACTTCTTCTTTGAGTTACAGAGCTTTAAATATATGCAAATATGGACTTAAGAGTAAATTAAGAGATAAGTGATTGTGCTGGAAAATAGGTGAAAATACTGTGAAAGCTTTTTCTGAAAATTTGAGAGGAAGATGATGGTTGAAGTGTTTGCATAAGAACTGAGACGACTGAAAAGGAATCCAGATATGCTTTTGAGAACACAATCTTGATTACACTATGGAGGCAAGGCGCTCCTATTTGGTGGGATCTTACCATTTCTACCCTGATGGGTCCACAAAATTCACAGTTTCACCAGTGAAGTCATGGGCTGTGTTAGTGTCTGATACATTTGTAGAAGGTACTTCTACTGAGCCCGGCTGGTGTCCCTCAGTGGCTGAGGGTGGATCTATAAACCAGGAGGTCACGGTTCAATTCCTGGGCAGGGTTGCGGGCTTGATCCCCTGGTGGGGGGCGTGCAGGAGGTAGCCTATCGATGATTCATTGATGTTTCTCTCTCTCTCTCCCTTCCTCTCTGAAATCAATAAAAATATATATTATTTTAAAAGATACTGCTACTGAATAATTTCAATTCTTAAGCAGTTTACATGCTACTGCTTTTATTCCTTCCCCTTCCCCTCTCAGCCTCCATTTCACTCCCTTAGGCCTCTTGCTGTTGCACAAACAAGAACTTCACCTCCTTCAAGTCTTTGTTCATATCTCACCTGAGCACTCTAATTAGTACCGCGCCGTGCATGACTCCTCTGAGCTCTTTCCCTGTTCTACTTTTTCTTTTTTTCCAGAGAATTTATCACCATCTTACATGCCACATAATTTTATTATGCTCATTGTTTATCATCTTTATTATTGCCTTAAAATTTGAGCTCCATGAAGATGAGACTCACATTCTCAGCTGTGCAGAAGGCCTAGAACAATGCTTAGCACAGAAACAGTTCAGTAAATATTTGTTGACTGATGAAGAGTCAGTAGCATTCTTTTCTACTTTGATTACAAATTTTTTAAGAAACATTTAAACAAAGCTTGAACAGTTGACTTGTAATGACAGAATGAATAATTTTTTGTTTTGAAAACATTTTCAAAGGTAGGTAGTAACTTCAATTTCAAATTTTCAGATACGCAAGTGGATGTAGTTGGCTTATGTCAAGAAGGACAGTTCCTATTGGTTGGGGAGAGGAGTGGCAACTTACATTTTATCCATGTGACGTCCAAGCAGACATTGCTCACTAACGTAAGACCCTATTTTGTTTTTCATTTCTTTTATCTAAATTCTAAATGATCTCTTAGACAACTAAAAACTTGAGCAAAGCAAGACTTAATTTGTGTTTTAAATTAAAAGAATAATGTTGCTCTTATTTAAATTTAAGAATCATGCCTTAGAAACATATGAAGTAAATGCCAAATTGTAAAATTAAGCTTTGCAAATATTCTTAGTATGCTTGTTCAAAATGGTTTTTCATTTTAAAACTAAAATGTTTGGCAGTTATTGCTAATGATAATCGATAGCTCTGTGATTTTAAAGAATATAATTCTTGATTATATTTCTCTGGGCTTAATCTTATATGAAATTAATTTGCAAATAGGCTTTTGTTCAGAAAGCTAATGATGAAGATCAGTGTACCTACCGAACTCTTGTTATTGAGAAAGATGGTTCAAGTGAAGGTAAGTTTTTTGAAATTTTTTATGTCTTCTAATACCCAATCAAAAAACCAGATTTATAGTAAATGAATTATGTAAATTCATTATTATGCTACCTACACAGTGTTAAATTTTCTAGTGATGTGATCAATATTATTGTAAGAAACAAGTTTTTATTGTAGTTTCTTTCAGAGACTTAAATGTACTTTTCCTAAATATAATATTCTAAACTAATTTTTACAGTTGTGAGAGTTCAATAGATCAGTAAGGAGACATTATATTCTTTTTTTTTTTTTTAATATATTTTATTGATTTTTTACAGAGAGGAAGGGAGAGAGATAGAGAGCCAGAAACATCGATGAGAGAGAAACATCGATCAGCCGCCTCCTGCACATCTCCTACTGGGGATGTGCCCGCAACCCAGGTACATGCCCTCGACCGGAATCGAACCTGGGACCCCTCAGTCCGCAGGCCGACGCTCTATCCACTGAGCCGAACCGGTTTTGGCGAGACATTATATTCTTTTAAAAAAATTTTTTTGTGTGGGTTCCAGCATATTTGTCATAGCTCCATTTCAACAAATGTTACCTGAACCTTAATTAATTAATTAATTAATTAATTTTTAAAATTTTTTTGGGGTTCCAGCATATTTGTCATAGCTCCATTTCAACAAATGTTACCTGAACCTTAATTAATTAATTAATTAATTAATTTTTTTTATATTTTATTGATTTTTTACAGAGAGGAAGGGAAAGGGATAGAGAGTTAGAGACATCGATGAGCGAGAAACATCGATCAGCTGCCTCCTGCACACCCCCTACTGGGGATGTGCCCGCAACCAAGGTACATGCCCTTGACCAGAATTGAACCTGGGACCTTTCAGTCC